AAAAAAAATTCTTGCCTCCTACCCTAGATGTATTGAATTGGAAATTCTTTGTGTGGTGCCCAGTAATTTAAGTTTGATAAGCTCTCCAAGTGATTCAGATTTACAGCTCAAGACTGAGGACCACAACACAAAGTCAATGGACAAAAAATAAATTTGGAAAAAAATATTTGTAAGAAAGATAACCAGAGGATTAATACTTAAATAATATACAAATAAGTTTTTTGTAAGTTGATGGGAAAGGAATAACCAAACAAAAAAATGGGCCAAGCATATGAAGAGCAATCAGAGAAGAGCAAATCAAAATATGATAAATGCAAAAAAAAAAAAAAAACAACAAAAAACGCTTAAACTCAGCTATAGTCAGGGAAGTGCAAATTAAATAACAATGCAGGGGTGCCTGGGTGGCTCAGTTGGTTAAGCATCCCTTCTGACTTCAGCTCAGGTCATGATCTAACAGTTGGTGGGTTCGAACCCCATGTCAGGCTCTGTGCCTGGAGCCTGTTCAGATTCTGTGTCTCCCTCTCTCTCTGCCCCTCCCCCACTCATGCTCCATTTCTGTCTCAAAAATAAACATAAAAAAAAATTTAAAGCAACAATGCACTTCACACCTATCAAAACAGGAAAAACTTAAAAAGAGCAATGTCACTTACAGCTGAAGGGAAATGGGCACTCCCATACATTGTTTCAGTTCACTCCCATAATGTGAACTGAAACATTATGGAAAGCAATTTGGAAAGCCTTTATGGAAAGCAATCTGGCAACATCTATAAAACTGAAAGTCCAAGGGCGCCTGGGTGGCTCAGTCCGTCAAGCACCAGACCTTTGGTTGCAGTTCAAGGCATGCATGATCCCACTTTTCCTAAGACTGTATCTCCCCCCACCCCCCCAACTGTGTTCGGCTCCTGTGCTGACAGTGCAGAGCCTGCTTGGGATTCTCTGTCTCTCCCTTTCTCTGTCCCTCTTCTGCTCACATGCGCTCTCTTCCTCTCTCTCAAAATAAATAAACTTTAAAAATACATATTAAAAACAAAAAGAACCCTGAAAGTCCATATATTATTCAACCTAGCAATCATGCTCCTTGGACTCTAGTCCCCAGAAATAAAAGTACTCAAACTTAAGGATGTAGCCATAGGGGTCTTTACTTATGAGTGGTTTTATTTCTGGGAGCTAGAGTCCAAGGAATGTGCCTGCTAGGTTGAATAATACATGGATTGGAGTGTTATTTGTACCAGAAAAACTCTGAAATCCAAGTGAATACCCTTCACCAAGATAGAGTTGAAGAATTCTGGTATATCTGCAGCATGAAATATAATGCAACTATTTAAAAAAAGAAATAATTAAAATAAAGAACCTCAACATTAACTACATTAGAATCACATGTAGAGCTTGTTAAAAATTTAGCTTTCCAGGGGGGTGGAGGGGTGGGGTGAAGATGGACGAAATAGGTGGAAGGGATTATGAGCTACAGACTACCAGGTATGAAGTGAGTCACAGATATGAAAAGTACAGCATAGGGAATACAGTCGATAATACTATAATAACTTTGTATGGTGACAGATTGCTGGGACTCATCCCCAGAGTTTCTAATTCAGCAGATATGGGGTGGAACCCAGGAATTTATGTTTTTTAAAATTCTCAGGTGATTCTACTGGTCTAGGGACCACACTTTTGAGAATCACTGGTTTAAGATACTGTTAAGTGAGAGGAGAGAAGTATAAAAATATATTTAATATGGCCATATTTCTGTAAAATAAACGATGACTTCCAAAACTGTATACACATTAAACGATGACTTCCAAAACTGTATACATATGTGTATATCACATGAAGAAAAATATGGAATTTTTTGAAATATATGGAAAGGAAATTAATATGGGTTTACTTATGGGGTGGTAGACAGAGAGTAAGAGGATGCTACCATAACAGTCTATATGTATGTAATGTGATCACATGTTATGCTTTCAACTAAAATGATTTGTGAGCAATATACATAAAGGAAACACCAAAAAATAAGTAGTTTCCAGCCTTATATTCCTTTACCTAAAGCACAGTGATAACGGAAAACCACCACACCCTTTTTTGGGCATGAACACACCTGATATGAAGACACAGGAGATGGAAGATACGGGGAGAGTGCAGACTGAGCAAGCATCCTGCTGGGGGTGATGTTATAAGGAGCTGGGTAAAACCTGGAAGAAGGAATCTCATTAGTAAGGAGTCACAGGAAACCACAAGGGCCCCACTAACAGACACAGCCACTTCCTACTAACTGCTGTTTAAAAATCAAGATGAAACATCCCAGTACCAGGACAGGCTGTTGTCATTTTCAGGTAGCCCAATGATAGCAAACACCCTTACCCATTCTGAAGAGCTGTGGTGGGATCATAGGTCAAAGCCATACCACCCTATAAAGGAAGAACACAGTGATCAATCATATTGTGAGCCCTTGGGTGGTAACAGGAGGAAGCCCAGAATGTCAAGACTAGGATGTGTTTGATGCAACAGATTAGAGCAAAGTCTGGGCTGGTCCCATTACTGCTGTTCTGGAGTTTTTCTGGTTGTGCAGGCTGCAAAATCCCGCTCAAGACCCACACTGAAGATCATGTTAAGCAGCCAGCCATCTCTCAGTTACATGCTATAGCTCTCAAGCTTGCCACTAAACTCACAGAAATCAGGCCATGGTAATTTCCATTCCACTTTAATAACCTTAGTACTCCTGTCTCCTCAGAGGTCCTCTTACCACATCTCCATTCCTTGGCCAGGCCCGTCCATTTTGCACATATTTTCCTTGGTTCTGTCGTTTCTTTGGACCACCATCAGCAAATTTGCAAAGCAAGGGATCAGAAGGGGCTGCCAAGAAAGCAAGCAAACAGGCAGCTGAGTCCTACCTCACTTAGTCCATTCACACTCATGCAAAATGCCTCCAGAATCTTCCCTGGAAGTAACAATCTGTGGCTCTCTCATCCTGATTCCCAGATGCCTCACCTGGTACTCCAGCAGGTGTCTTAATATATTTTCCATTAAAGTGGGTGATGATGGCTTCACACTTCTCTGTGGACTCCATCCTAAGGAGCACAAGAGGGGTTAGGTTCTAGCTTCTCCAGGATCTGTGCTCCCCCTACATTCAAAGAGAAAGCTCTAAGTTCCCAGCCCCACAAATGCTCCAAAAATTATGACTCTAGAAACACAGTTTTCTCCACACAAATTCAAGGTATCTTGAAGAGGCAACCGCATCTTTTTTTTAAATGTTTATTTTTTGAGAGAAAGAAAGAGAGAGCACAAGCAGGGAAGAGGCAGACAGACAGGGAGACACAGAATTCAAAGCAGGCTCTAGGCTCTGCACAGAGCCTGACGCAGGGCTCAAACTCAAGAGCTGTGAGATTGTGACCTGAGCCGAAGTCAGGTGCTTAACCAACTGAGCCACCCAGGCACCCTGTGGCAACCCCAGCGTCTAAAAGCTCCCTCAACTGGCTCGTATAGGGCTCCTAAAAGGAAAAATGAAGATCCTCATGCTATGAATATCCCAAAGAAGTTACTGATGGATAGGCCCACTATTAGGTCTGGTTCACAAACAAGAATAGAATAAATAGTGGCTGTCACCATTATTTATTTTATTTTATTACTTATTTATTTCTTAGGAATAACCTTTTTTTTTTAATGTATATTTTTGAGAGACAGAAAACAAGTGTGAGCAGGGGAGGAGCACAGAGAGGGGGGCGGACAGAGGATCCCAAGCGGTCTCTGTGCTGACGGCAGCGGGCCCAATGTGAGGCTCAAACTCATAAACCATGAGATCATGACCTGAGTCGATGTCTGGACACCTAACCAAATGACCCACCCAGACACCCAGATTTTTTTATTTAAAATTTTTTTTAATATTTATTTGAGAGAGAGAGAGTATATATAATACAACTGAAGGAGGAACAAAGAGAGAGGGAGAGAGAGCATTCCAAGCAGGCTCCACGTTGTCAGAGTCCAACGTGGGGCTCAATCTCACAAACTGTGAGATCATGACCTTATCCAAAATCAAGAGTAGAACACTTAACCAACTGAACCACCCAGGCTCCCCTGCTATTTTTTTTTTTTTAAATAAGCTCTATGCCTAGTGTGGGGTTTGAACTCATGACCCTGAGATCAAGAATCACATGCTCTACCCACTGAGCCAGCCAGGTACCCCATGTCACCATTAGTTTTTATTACAAAATGCCTAACTTCACTCCAATAAAACTGTACAAGCTAAGAACTTGCTAATGTTTATTTTTTGCTTTTGTAGTCTAATTAGCTCCTAATAATATTAAGATTTTATAAAACTGTAAGAGGAAAGGGAAGACAGAGTTCATGGTCTATAGTGACAGAAACAATGTTGGGAACTACTGAGTTAAAGTGTCTTATTGGGGAAAGACGACAAGTAAGAAACTAGAAAATCTAGATTCCAGCACCAGTTTACTACCCAAAGTTCTGTGAGTTAGGACCTGCACAAAAACCCACTGGACCTATTCCTCATTTCTGCTTTAGGGATAATATCCACCCTACCCTATTGCAGATCAAATGAGATCATGTCTTTGAAGTGTGTTCTAAAAATTCTAAGGGTCTATATGACACAAGGTACAGTATCTTCCCCTCCTTCCATATTTAAAGTAAATCTCATTGCATTTTCTATGCCAATAACCACTAAAAATATGAACCATTCCTATGAAGGTGGTCATTTTAAAACGGTCTCAAATGGAACCTTTTAGGGAAAAACCACAACCTAGGTATTGCACAGCAGCAGTCTTTAGTTGGGTTACTTCTACTCCTTAATCTTCCAGAAGGCTACGCAGGCATGGGGTATTTTAAGAGAACTGTTTTCAGACCCTCCACTTCCTCATAAGCTCTTTCCTAAAACTGGTCTGCCTGGGGAGAGCCTGTGGCCACCAAAGGTCAAGTGCCCTCTCACAGCCACCCCTTTCCACAGATTTTGCACCCATCCCCAAACTCCACAAGAGGCAATGATGCCTGACTTTTAAATCATTTTGTAAGTCAGATGTTTCTAATTCTTCTTTCCAACAAGCTGGATAACTCAGTAGGTTGTTAACGGACACATTACAAAATCAATTTTGACAAATCAATCAC